TTTTTTTTTTTTTTTTTTTTTTTTTTTTTTGAATTTTTACTGTTTTTTCAAACGAATAATTTGAAAATGCATTCAATCGAGACACCTTCAAGGATCCGTCTGCATACCGAATTCTTCAAATGGCACCACCAATTGAGCATCAAGTTCGTGCAATGTTAGCATTGTTAAAACGTTATAAGTGGTCAAAATTTGGTGTGGTAACATCAAAAAGCAGTGGTGCCAAAAGCTTTTTATATTATCTTCAAAACCTTCTTGAAGAAAACAGGGGAAGGCCGTTCAAGTAAGTTCAGCGAATGCGCAAATAAAATTTGTGATTATTGAATTCGAATTAAAGTAAACTAATAAACTGAACCTAATTTACTTTAATAATCATCCCAAAGAATTTAAGTCATAATTCTTTGGCAGTATTCCCCCAGCAACAATCTCAATTTTAATCTTTCTGTCTTTATAAACTGCTAGTGTAACTACAAAATCAAAAAAAAATTGGAAAAAAACAAAGATAAAATAAAATTATCTTTTTGCTCATTTTTTTGTTTCATTTTTTTAGACTAGAATTGATCCATCATGCAGAAATTGACACTTCTGCTGATGAAGCAGAGATCACCGAAAGCTTATTAGATTTGAAAAAATCTCAGTCTCGAATAATTCTTCTTTGCAGCACACACAATGAGGCTAAAACAATATTTACGGTACTGAACTCTTCTCACTTTTTGAGCTTTCAGTTTTCATCTTAGAAACAGAATCTGCCTCCTTTAACTAACAGTTTTGGCTCTCTTCTATAGCAAAAAAGACTAAGCAAAAGATGCAATGGTGTTGATACATTTTGCTTCAAATTTTTACTAAAACAGAGTTTTTAAGATTGCAAATAAAACTGGGCTCACAACTAACAAATATCTTTGGATTGGAACACAGTCTGTAAAAGCAGATGCCAGTTCATTCAAGTTGCCTTTTCAACCAGGAATGTTAGCCGTTACCTTTAATACACATGCAGATGCCTATTTCGATCAGCCAAATGATATTCTCAGCGTTATTATCAGTTTGGCGCCTAAGGTCTGCATTAATCACACTTTTCTGTATGAAAAACCGACAACTATCAATACACTTTCTATGCGTACAGCCTATCTTAAAATAGCATGATATTTTTTAAGGAAATTAAGATATTTGACAAAAAAAAAATATTTGCTTGTTTTTACCAAAGATGAAAGCATGTGTCAAAATTTCTTCTGTACACATATGTGACTTTGTAGTTGATTGCAATAGCAATTGGCAAAGTTTGTATGAACAACAGTTTTGAAATCTACTCGGATCTGTCATGCGATAGGGAAAGCAATGAATCAGTGTGGCGCGGTGGTGCTGTCTTATACGAGTAAGAATCACAAAAAAACCTTTTTTGCTCCAAGTAGCGGTGCTGGAAAACAGTCGTTGAGGTTGTCATTTTTCTGAATGCTTAAACAGTTGATTTTAGAACAATGAGAAGAACGGCTATAAAGGGTAATCCTCATCATGCCAAAGATGGACTGCATTCGTTCTATTACACCTTTGATGAACACGGCAAATTAAAAAATTCCCATTTAATAATATCGAACTTTCGCGAGAGAACACACAAAGATTTTTTGAGGAGCAATAAAGACCTAGTCTGGGATCCGGTTTGTTAATATGTTTGTAGCTAAATATCTTCTTCACTTTTTCCTTGTCTTTCTCCTCTTTTATTTTCAGAATAACAGTGCTTTTGAAAATGATTTCTGGATTATACATTGCTGTTTTAGAAAACTTTGGAAATACAATTGAAAATTGCAGGTAGGCGAATACTCAAATGGAGAATTGAAGATCGCTGACATTAAATGGCCGGGTGGTAATGCAAATCCTCCTCAAGGTACACCTGATCAGTTCCACCTTAAGGTTGTCACGTTACACGAACCACCGTTTGTCATTGTAACTGACTTGGATCCTGAAACTGGGCAGTGCATCGGCAACCTCGGTTACATATGTGATTGGGGTGATGAAGTTTATGTTGAAAATGGTGTTAAAAAGTAATGCATATTTTGTTTACAAGCTTTCAAAATTTTAAACTTTTTATTGCCAGACAAGTCTGCAGTATCTATTTTAGTCAAACGATTAACATTTTTCAGCATCATAAAACTTTTGAAATGCATTGTGCTAGAAATTAGAGTGTTATGTAGACTTAAACGTAAATTTAGGAACAGGACGTTGTATAAGTGCTGCACTGGGTACTGCGTTGATTTGCTAGACAAGTTATCAAAAGATATTGGTTTTACCTATACGCTTTATAAGGTTCGCGACGAAAAATGGGGGATTAAAACGGTATTGTATGTCACAAAAAATTATTTTAACTTTTTCCGGAATCTGAAATTTTTTAAAGCAAAGAAGAAAATTAAACTTTGCTCAAAAAATTTTGAATTTACAAAGGCATCGGTAAAGTAACAGTAAAAAAGTAAGTTATAGCCGAGAAAAAAGTGTATTTTAAATGAATTAAACAATTATGATGATAGCAGACATTGCAGAATTAGTGAGACAGAAATGTATGCCAGCGGTGATTTTAAATTATCTGTTTCTTACAAATAAATTCAAAAGCTTTAAAAAGAAATTATTCTAACAGAAAACAACAATTTTATACTCTGCCACCACTTTATATACCAAATTTAAAAATTTTCAAATATTTTTGGAAGTATCGTTTGGAAGCTTAACCTCTAGTTTTGAAAGTGTTATGAAAAAGCAGGCCGCAAAAGTTTTATATATTAGAAATATTTTTTTTACTGTAACAGAAAGATTATCATTTGATAACAGGAAAATGGTTGGAATGGTTTGGTACGGGAGCTTATATTGCATAAAGCAGATATGTGTGTTACGTCATTAAAGCTTAACTCTGAGAGGGCGCGAGACATCGATTTTTCAATTCCTTTTCTAGAAACTGGTATAACGATTATTGTGAAAATCCGCAGTGGTGTTTTGTCACCAACAGCTTTTTTAGGTTTGCTTCTAAGTTTAATAACTTTTCTTTAAATTTTTGTAGATAATTCGTGTGTTTTGTTTATTTCGTTTTAAAACTCAAGAAAAGAATAAGACAATAAGGTAGAGGCAACCAAAGCGACTTCCTGTCCCAAATTAAGAAATCTCTTTTTCAGAGCCTTTTGAATATTCTACTTGGGTAATTATCTTACTAGTGTCTATTCAAGGGGCTGCATTTTCAATCTTTGTTTTTGAATGGGTCAGCCCATACAGTTTCAACATGCAGAAACATCCTCCTCCAGGTTCTTGGTTTAGATTATTCGTTAACTAATTTCAAACTTCTTTACCCCTCAACCATTTCCGAATAAATATGTATGTTTACTTGTTGCGTCAATTCATTTTCTGCAGGTCACAAATTTTCGTTGTGTCGGTCCTACTGGCTAGTCTGGGCAACGTTTTTCAGCGCCAGCGTCAGTACTGGTCAGTTCATCACAAGTCCAATAGAGCTTTTCATTATTAAAACATAATAAAAAGTGAAAAAAGTAGTTCAGGTTTATTTGAGTCCTTGTTAGCTGGCCTAATTACAGATCAACAAACTAATACATTGTGCACTATACAATTTTCAATTAAGACCTTCCAAGATCTACCGTCAGCCGCTTTATGGCGCTGGTTTGGGCCGCTTTTGGTCTAACATTTCTGGCAGTTTATACTGCTAACCTAGCAGCGTTTATGATAACTCGTGTTCAGTACTATGACCTCAAGGGGATCCATGATCCGCGGGTGATTAGTTTTTAGTTTTTTGAACTGAACAGTATACCTCTAAAAAATGTCAAGCTTTTTTGTTCCTTGCAATATTAAAGTTTTGAAATTTACCTGTAGGAATTATTGAGTAAAATTTAACCATTACTACGGCAAAAACTGGTATCAATTTCCATTGAAACTGTTGCACTTTTTGTCAATCAATTTAACATTGAATCTTCTTTTTTTCTACTGGCTCGTTAACGTTGCATAACACAGTATAGTGCTCCTGCAAAAAAAAAAAATCAAAATTTCTTAATTTTTAAGCTGTTATATCCAGATGAACAAAAACCTCCATTTCGTTATGGGACCGTTGAAGGCGGTAACACTCACGAAACAATGAAAAGGAATTGGGTACTTATGAACCAATACGTCAATTCCAGAAATTATTTCCGCAACAACATTTCTGCAGGGATTGAAGCTGTCAAAAAAGAGTTTGACTTTACAATCAGTTGTCAAATTGTAGAGATAAATCATTCAGTTCAGGCTTGGACAACAGCAAAATATTTATTGATATCTAGTGAAAAACCGAAACTTTTTAAAGCAACAGCACGATTTTGCAGGTATCTGCATGCGTTCATATACGATGCCGTAGTATTAGATTATCTTGCTGGCAAGGATCCAAAATGTGAACTTATTACTGTAGGAAAATGGTCGAGTATGACCGGTTACGGTAAGTCACTTGCGGTTTCACAACTAACCAGTGCCGGTAAAATTTACTGCGTAAAATACTACTTATTGACTTTACGGTTCTACTAGTTCAGTAGAATGGTTAAGCCGGTAAAGCGAAGATGACATCAAGCAGTAACAGTGCTTTTGATGCAAGACGGGAAAATATTTGTAGCAGATTAGCTGATCGTCAAAAAACTTAAAATCATTTTTAGGTATTGGATTTCCAAAGAATTCTCCCTATGTACAAAAAGTAAATCAGTTCATGCTACAGTATCAACAAAAAGGTTAGTGGTGTCAAATGACTGTCGATATCGACAGCTGAACATCAAGAGTTGTTAAGATTACTTGATATTACGACTTTTTGTTTACAATTTTAAAATGAGACAAGAACATGAATTCGGGACTGAAAAATAATATTTTCCAACAACTGGGGAATAATAATATTTTAAGAAGCTCAAAGATTAAAGAGTTTTTAGGCGATTTGGAACGGCTACAAAATTTCTGGATAACTGGAGTTTGCATACCAGACTCTCATAGTCAAACAAAAAGTGCTCCTTTGGGAATCGAAAATTTTATGAGTGCTTTTATCCTTCTTTTAGGCGGAATGGTCAGTTTTTTTGCATTTTCTTGATCTGATAAGATACCTTGAAATTTTTTTTTTTAAAAATGTGGTGTTTTAAGCTTTCTGTGTAAAGTCTCAAGAGTTTTATTTTCAGAAATTGATGCCTAAATATTTTTTAAATGTATTTTAATTCAGATCAGTCGCTGTTCAAAGTGCAAAGAGTTTAGTCAGACGGGGTTTAAACTGCAAAATTTTAAACTAGGAACGGTGATGAAAATTTTTTTATGTTAAAGATTAAGCGTCAAAACCTGAGCACTCAAAACGATTTCGGTTGGTTTTAGTGGTTATTACTGGCACGTCATTTGGGGACTTTTTAGTGAGTTTCAAACTCTATGGGCAAAATAACAACCTGCAGAGCAAGATTTTTAAAAAAAGTTTTGTTCGTGCAGTTATTAAGATGCCTTGAAACGCGGTTGGTTACAATTTGCAGAAGTTTTCGCACTTCCTGTCAAAGAATTTTGGAGCGGTTAACAGTGCTGTTAATTATGCATTTAGTATTACTAAAACTCTAACTTAGAAGTTTTCTAACCATGTTAAATAATTAATTTGCAAGAACAACTATTTCTTAGGGGATTCGGCTCGCGTACATTAGGAAGGATTTAGCAGCAGGCGATAGGAAAATTGCTAGAACTATTCGTTGACAGACCTTTTTGGAATCTTTAGTTTAGACAGTATGGCCAACAAGTGGAGATGACTCTTTACATAGAATACAATTCCTAGGAGCTTTTTGAGGACATCATTTTTTTCGCTTAGTAGTTTTAGTATTCAGAACAAAACTTTTGAAGCTTTCTGCATTTTTGAGAATTAGTGAGCTGTATTAAGATTAAACGATGTCAATATGCCTACTACTGTAATTAACTGGTATTTAGGTTGTTGGTATGCTTGTTCTTGGAGCCGAACACGTGTATTGTAACCATCTGAGAAAATATCTGCAAGCCATCGACAATGGGTGGTGTGGCATCATAAGCATGGCATAAGTGTTTTAAATTCACACAACTTCTAATTGAAAATTTCATATTTTTTGGCCAAAAAGCTCAAGTGAGGAAAATTTTGTAGGCAATGGGAAAATCGTTGACATTTACAGAGGCTGTCAATCGCGTTAGTGAATGGCAACAACGAAAACAGCCTTTGATGAATCCGATGCAGTCAGTAAAAACGCAGACCTCTACGAGGTTCTTTTTTACAGTAATCTTAGACATTCATATTGGGCTTTTCTTCTCAAATATCTTATAATTATTATGACAATTAATTATAGGCTCTGAGAAAAGCAGTTTAGGTTTTCTAACTTTTAAAACTTTAGGAAAGAAGGTTTTTCGTTTGAGTGTTATGAAAAAGCTGTTACGCGAAGAATTGATGAAAATCATGCACAAGTTTTCAAACAACATGAAACTGCGTTGTAGGATTGCTATTAACATTTATTCATTTTTCAACAACAATCAGATGTCGTCTTCAATGGGTGCCTTGCTGGACAAATGTTCCAAATTTACTGTTCATCTGATTACTGTATATTTTGTAAATATGCTGTCACTAAAATAATAATAACGATAATAATATATAACCATGTTTTTCGCAACAATTTTTACTACTTTTTTAGATTAATTATGACAGTGGAAAATTAAAGGTTGTGAAGCCATTGAGTTTTATTAAACAAAGAGAAATTACTGTTTTTAATAACAGATATTTGCTGTTTACAGGTTTGTACATTATTTATGTAAGTCTTTCTATTAAGGTGAAGAAAAAGAAAGGCAAAAAAAGAAATTGAAATCTTGTAATAAAAATTTTAAACATTTTTTGACTGTCAAAACACAAACTGCAAAACTTAACTTGTCTGTTAGCACCATAAAGTTTTCACAACTAATTGGAGAACAAAAATAAATTCGAAAATAATTTAAAAATTTTTGTGCATCGTAAAAAGCAGTTTACAAAAGCATACTTATTGAGCACTGAAAAGGATATCTTTCAAGATAACTTTCGTCTATTGACCTAAAAAGGTATCTGGCTTCAAAACAATCAGATATTCAACAACGGTTCGTATAAGCTTCAAATTTTTGTCGTCTTCGATTAGCGTTGTTTATGTACTGCAAACTGGTTGCCAACAGGAAAAAAATGTAGTAGTTGACTAATCTGTAGCTTAGTTTATATCAGTTGTACATCATAAACTTTTCTGAGAATTCTGATGAAGTTCTTCAATACAACCAAACTAAATATCTCACTAAGAAGAAGTTCATTTTTTAAAGCATTCTGGCAAGCTTTTAAACGTTAGAACTGTTAAAAGCTTTACTGTTTCTTTTTATATTATCTGTAAAAGAAACGGCAACTGTGGTAAATCCTTACAACTTGTTGAGCAAATGGTTACAAATGCAACAAAAAGATTTAAAAATTGTTGAACCTTCAAATACGCAAATTGTTTGATGAAATTTCTATTATTAGTTTACAGCTGAATAAACTACTGAATCGATTTATTTTCCTTTGTCTTAGCAGAGCAGAACGTTGGCGATAAATTTAATACAAACGAATATCAAACAAAGATGGTATATACATTTTCAACAGTAGAAGTTTATGCTCTGTTTAATTTAATGGAGTGGTAATGGTAAATGTGTAGTATGTTTTGTACAACAAAAACGAATAGGTTCATTATTTATTTAAACTATTAGTATTTTAGTTCAAACTTTACACGTAATTTATACGCTTTTGTATAAAATCATCATTAATAGCCTGATCGGGTACAAAACTGTTGTAGTTTTGCATTTGGGTAAACGGAACCGCTTCTTTTGTAGACTAAAATTATTAAAACTATAACAACGGCACATAATAACTGTAGAATTGTTCAATTATTTATCGACAAATCTAAAGTGATTTATAAAAATTTAAAAGTAAGCAACAAAAATAATTGAAACATTTCAGCTAATTATTAAAAATGAGAACCTGTAAGTCAAAATTTTGATTAACTGAATCGCAATTTATATCTTTGCCACAGAATGCATTTTCTGCATCAAAAACCGGCAATTCCATCTGCACGAGGCTCTGACTGCATCTGTTCTGTAGAAGCTGATCGTTGTATAAATACTGCTGCAGTTCTTCAATGTAGTCGATCGCTAATCTAAAATTCCATTATTCTTTTTCTGTGCTTAATTATTTTTTTCCACAACAAGTTTCTGTTATGATAAAAAACTGATAATCAACATTTTTTTGTTTAGTCCAAAAAAAATTACCAATTACTAAGTGGGAGCAATCAATGAGGACGTCATTTTGGCATGAAACATATGGGATACAAATGCGTAAGTGCACAATGTTCGTTATATATACACAATAAAGGCTCATAGAAAAGTATTGTTGCCAATCTCAACAAATGTATTCTGTTCAAAAATAGTTGTTCTAACAACTGTTCTAAACATTATCAGTCTTTTTTTTGACAAGCTTATTAATCAAAAATAAACGTATGATTTTTCAAAGAAGAGAAAGAAATAAAAATTAATAAAATTAAACAAAAATGGCATCAATTTACAGTTATCTAATGACGTTACAACAGAACTTATAAACACTTTTCATTCTTATATACTTAAGCTACATCCCTCGTCAGATATGCTCGTAGTTATTTAAATTAGCAACTTTTATAAAATATATTTAACTAGCAATTAGAAATAAAAATTTTTTTTTTTTGTTTTTTGCTCGTTTCTAGTAAATTAATCAAACGTTTTCCAGTAAAAGCAGCAAAAGATTCATAGCAATTTCAGGAATAAATTTTCCATTTCACATACATTCACTTGCTAATGAATTTCTTTTTTTTGACATCAGAATAGTGAAACAACAGCTCGCTGTGAAAATTCAATGATCAATCAAAGACAAAAAATTTGTGTAGCAGAACTGTTTTACATCTTCAGACAATTCTCAAAAAAACAAAAATGTCATCTATTCAAACTTGACTTGAGCATAAATCAATGTCATTTGATTACCTTAAAGTTCTTATCTTTGTCAATCGTTTACCATTAGTGGTTTTCAGTTTTTGCCGTAGTTGATCAAACGCTGTATTTAAAGCACGCATTCGTCCTTTCTCCCTTTCAGCAGCTAATCGCCGTTGTGTTTCTTCAGACTGTGGTTTCATATGCTATACACCAAGCAAAAAACCATAATTTTTATATAAACAACATAATATTTTGGCTTTCCAAATGACCGGTAATATAACCAATTGACAAAGGTGACAACGATAACGACAATAACGACGAATTGTAACAACAAGAAAAGCGCAAGTGATTTTATTTAATATTATTATTATTATTATTTTTTAAACATTAATATTTGCACAAAAATATGACATACAGACAAAAAAAAATCGTAGTGTTTATTATAAATGTGATATTTGTAAAAAAAAAAAAAAAATATTTCAATTTCAGGATGCTTTACATTCTTTTAGCTAATTAAACTGCTCCAATAAAGTGGCCTAACTTTTCCAGCGTTTTAATAGAAAACTAAATAAGTCCTGATTGTCTGCTAACATACACCAGTGCAACTAATAAAAAACTGCAGAACAGCAAATTATAAATGAACAAAAAAAAAAAAAA